TGAGGTTTACAGAAGTTGGAATAAATTTCAAAATAACAGAATTGCTGTGTAGACACTCACATAGTTATTTCAGAATAACGACTGTTATTCCAGAATAACTTTTCCGTTTAGACATACCCTAAGACACAAATCCTGGTACATGCAAAGATCCTGCCTATGGTTCTTCTAGAACACCAATCACAGCAATCTTTAGTTGCTAACATGCAGGACACACAAGCACACGTGGGGGCAGTGGCTGCCATGGATAAAGGCAGAGACAGTCACACAGAACCACACATGTGCACTGACACTTAGAGAGCCCTAGACACAGATGAAGACATGTACCAAGAGCTGCAGCTCCACATGCACAGAGCTACATGTAGTCACATTCTGTGAGAGGTATGTGTAAAGCACTAAATGAGGGGAAAAAAAGAGTCCCCAGGGAAGCCTGTAGAGGGAAGGCTGAAGCTGGGGATCATCTAACCCACACTGCTAATCTCTGGGGTGGACTAGCTTGGTCACTGCAGTTAGCATTAGCCATTGGAGTTTGACTTCAAACTCTCTTGGGGAGCAGCCTGGCATAGGGACGGGTAGGAAAGGCTTTTTCGAAAGATCCTGTAAACCTCAAAAAATTAGGTTTACAGGATCTTTGGAAAAAGGCTTTTATTTTTGAAAGAACTGTGTCTAGACTGCGGTTTTACTTTCAAAATAGCGCTTTTTTTGAAAGAGTGCCATGACACAATTATGCAAATGAAATGTGGGAAATTCAAATCCCGGCTTCATTTGCAATTTCAAAGTGCCTAATTTACATCCCTCTGTCAAAAGAGGGATGTAGTCTAGACGTACCCCCAGAGTGATGGTGGCAAATCCATCTGTTTAACCGTATAGCTGGGTGTGCACACCTGTGGGCATGTATGGCCACTAGGGATGTTAAATATTGGTTAATTGAATAGTCAACCTCAAGCATTTTTATTGGCTAGTCGACAATTCTATAGTCCCCAGGGGCAGGGCCGGCAGCCACTGTATCAGAGGCAGCAGTGCAGGGGGCCAGGAGGTAGCTGGTCCATGAGGGAAGCCAGTTTAAAAACCAGCTGACCTTGTGGACTGGCAGCCTGTCACCCAGTGCTGCTGCCTCTGATAAAGAGGCAGCAATGTGGGGTGGCAGCAGTCTCTGTCTAAGGGGGAATCTGAGCTCCTGGAACCGGCGCGAGACGGAACTGAGCCACGACCTACCTGGCTCCTAATACACTTTAAATGCAGAGCTGCAGCAGAGGTAGGTTCTCGACCTGGCATGAGCCAGAACTGAGCCGGGCTGCTGGCCAGCCTGCTAAAAAAATGTAATGGCAAGGGTTTGGGGAGGGAGCTGTGTGTAGTCTATAGCATTAACCTATTATCTTTTGCTTATCAGTTAATTGGTTAATCAGCTACACTAACATCCCTAATGGACACAAATGCCCATGTACACAGAGCTAACCTGCCTTGCAAGACACCCTCTCCCTTGTCCCCCTCCCATCCTTACATTGAGAGCAAATGCCTGCAGCGTAGTTCACAGCTACTCAGGAGAAAGAAGCATGGGATCAATTGCATCACAGCTGTCTCCAATTTACCTGCTCTGCTAGCAAGCAGCTGAGCAAAGTAGCCTGCCCGCAGCAGGAAAGCAATGTGCTGGGCCCACCCTTTGTGGCAGGCTGCAGCCAGGGCTCTGAGAGACAGTAGGGGAGTTGTAGCAGCTGCTAGCCAGGTTGACCCTCCATTCCCTGGCTCCTTATGCGTTAGCCCCTCTATATGCTCTTCCCTTCGCAGGGTAGCGTTAGGGTGAGCATCAGCTACATGCGGAGATGCCATTGGCGTAAGCAAGTTGTTGGTGATCTCAGGCAACAGATCAGCAGATGCCTCTGGGTGCAGAGGGGGAGGGGCCTACATTATCCAGCGCATTAAACAGGTCTTTAAAATTCAAAGGTTATTTTAAATATTTTAAACCCTTGTTTCCAATATTAGCATGCTGTGTGGCTCGGGGACCTAGCAGGCCACATGGGTCACAGGCACAGGGCTCTGCCGAGGGATGTTAAATTTAGTTTAATCAAGTAATCGACTAGTTGATGGATTTTCCATCAACTAGTTGCTAAGTGGGGAGCTGCAGTGAGGTTAGCTCCCACCCAGGAACTAAGCCTGTTGGCTCTTAATCCATTTAAAAGGCTAAAGCCAGCAGGAGGGACCGAGGGCGAGTTGGGAATCAGCTGATTCCCAGCTTGGAAAGGGTCTTCCTGCTGCGCACCAATCTTTTAAATGGACTAAGAGTCTGTTGGCTCTTAGTATATTTAAAAAGCAGAATCGTGTCTGGGACTAGGTGTGAGCTGGAATCAGCTGATTCCTGGCTCATGCTGGGTCCCCATTACCTCCCTGCCTCCCCTGCTACCTGAAGACACGTTGCTGGGGGAACCGGCTTTTAAGCTGTCTACCTTCAGCACCGGCTCCTGCTTCCTCCTTGCTGTCTCTGATAGAGGCATCAAGGGATGGGGAAGCGACTAGTCGACTAATCCCTTGACTATCTGATAAGCGTTGGCTTATTGGATAGTCGACTTACATCCCTAGTTCTGCCCCTTTGGTTCATGGGGACTGGGCCGCAGTCTTGCATCAGCAGAAAGTGCTTCCTGCTCTTCAGTCTCTCCATCCATCCTGTGCTCATGGTGCTCCCCCTTCGCCTGCTCTTGCCTCTGAGTCACACTCTTGCCACCGTAGCCATTTGCACACCCCGTCCCATCTTCAGAACTGGGTTCCTGGGCTTCTGCCACAGACTCTTTTGCCAGACTTTCTAGGTTTCCCTTTGAGTCTGTCCTGGGAAGGCTCAGCCCCTTGCCCTGGTCATTTCTTATAAAGTCTGCCCCAAGCTGCTGAAAACACAGGCAGCTTATGAGGAGGTGTCATCATCATCATCATCTGTGGTATGGGAGACTGTGCCCCAGGAGAGGTGTATTCTAGTCCTGCCTCTGGACTGCAGAGTGACTTTGGACCAAGGATGGGTAAATACTGGCCCACGGGCTGGCTCTGATTTGCCAGGGTTAGCTCCTGCTGCTATATTTAGCTGCATGGATGCAGGTACTGGGGATTGCAGCTTCCTGCCACTCCCATTGGCCAGGAATGATGATCTATAGCCAATGGGAGCTGTGATCGCCGATGGCAGCTTGCCTGGGGACTAATCTTGGGAAACCATGTCCAGGTTATTGCCCACCCCTGCTTTGGACAAATTACTTTGTTGCATTGTGCCTCGGTTTCCCCATTTACAAAATAACAACACTGATCACTTCATAAGAGGTCTTTGAGGTCTACAGGTGCAAGAGCTTGCTATTATTATTGCAACATGGCAGTGAGGCTAGTCACTGCCCCCAATGCAAACAAGGAGGAAATCACTGAAAAGAAATGCAAAGCGGAATAAAATAAGCCGCTGCCAGGGAGACAGCAGCCGTTGTGACAGCTGGATGATGCAGCTTGGGGTGGGGGTCCCCTCCATTTGAACGCAGAAGGTGGCAGGGACTGTGGGAGGTTGGTTCCCGTCTTGTTTTCCAATACTTTGGTTTTATGAATGGTTGTCTCCACCCAGACATTGGATGTCTCCTCCTCTGCCCATGTTCAAACATGGTTGCTTCCCCTGTATCCTCATCAGCAAGAGGCTGGACTCCTGCTGAGCTCTGCTTCCACCACCATGCCCGAGACCAGCTTTGGAGGGAGCAAAGGAGAGACCGTGCGTGCTGAAAGCTGTTGTTGTGAACGTACATTCAGCAAAAGCCTCACTGTGGTGCTGTGGGCCTCAGCACTAATTGCTGAGTTGCCGTGTTTCTTGCTCTCATGCTTACACGTTTGGAAGCAACAGTGTTTAGGGCACAATATGGGAAGGTCAATGGTAGACTCCAGCATTAACCATCTTTCCGCAGTTTTATGTGCTGCAGTTTGCAGAGGCAGGAAAACAACCTCCTTCTATTGCCTCAGTCAATCACCCTCCGCTCCTGGCAAACATCCCCTCGTGTCACGTCTGAATTGGAGCACATGGCCACGTTGCTGCACCCACGTCAGCCACAATCTAGCTGCTTTTAGGAGCTTCTCACTCGGGTCTAGCTCCCACTGGCAGCAACTGGAATGTGCCCAGCTCTGAGATCTCTGCCATGAGTCAGCAAAGTGCCTTGCATTTGGGCTCTGGTGCTATCTTTGCGGGCAGTCCACAGGGGGAGAAAACATGTGCTGTCTCTAGGCACAGGATTGGCTCCCACTCATGGGGACTCACTGGTATAATGGAGAATAGAATCTAAAGATTGTGCAGTAGCATCTGATGGCAAAACCATTAGCAGGTGCGAGAAGATAAGAATCTCACTTGATTCTCAGATGCCAGGCAGGGTTTGCAGGGTTGACAGCTAGGAAAACATGATGGCTCTGGAGCTGAGAGATGAATCTGGAAGCCCACAATGCCATGTCAGGCCCATCTAGCTTGCGGAAATCCCTTGACTCTGGACTGTGCACTATTAGTCAGGTTTACCGCCCTATCCTGGCCAGGGTGGACTTTTGCAGCTCTAGAAGAGAAAAGTGAAGGGGCTGCCTTTTCCCTCACACAGAGCAGGCATTTGTTGGCACAAATTGGGCATGCTACACAGGAAGATGGACTCACCCTATTTCTAGGTCCCCTGCCTCGTTCTTGCCACATCTACCAGGACTGGGTGTTAGTGACTTTGATTGATGGAGTGATAGCTGACTTACATACATGGCCCAGCATACAGCCTGTGGTTATTGGATTCCCTACATTTGTGCAGCTGCTATGAACTCCCATAGAGTGGCAGTACATAAAGGTATGTCCATAGTGTGGCCAGGGCCATCGCCTGCCTCCTTCCCCACAGGAGGGTGCAAGGTACAGAGGAAGCAGAGAGCTCTGCATTTTCTAGATGCCTTTCATGCCGGAGGACCCTCATTCCTGGGTTGAAGGTCCCTGTAGATATGGCTTCTGAGGCTAAGAGGATGTGCCTTAATGTTCACTCCTCTTGCCGGGATAGGGCTGGGAGGTGCATAGCATGGGAGTGAATCCCTAAGTCATATGGTGATCGCTGATCTCCCCTTTGCTAGATTTCTTACTAGTCTTAATTTGTCATTTCCCAATCTGACCTCCATTTAGTGCAGGGAACTCTGTGTCCTGAGCAATATTCTCTGCTCAACTTGTGACCTCTCTTTGTGTTGCAGATACTAAGACAACCTGTAAAGAAGCTCCATGAAGGTGACCAGCCATGCAATGTTCCTGGAAGGCTGTCCTCCTACTAGCCTTGGCATCCATCGCAATCCAGTACACAGCAATCCGAACCTTCACCGCCAAGTCCTTCCACAGTTGTCCCGTCCCCAATCCCATGAACTGCAGCCTGAGCCAAGAGACTGAGTCGGCTGACAGGCTATGTGACGAGAGCCCAACCTTTCCTTATAACCTTTCCCGAAAGACGCACGTCCTGATCCTAGCCACCACCAGGAGTGGCTCCTCTTTTGTTGGGCAGTTGTTTAACCAGCACTTTGATGTCTTCTATTTATTTGAGCCCCTCTACCATGTCCAGTACACTCTGATTCCAAAGCTGACCCAGAGCAAGAGCACCACGGACAGGCGGGTCATGCTGGGCGCCAGCAGAGACTTGCTGAGGAGCCTTTATGACTGTGATCTATACTTTCTTGAGAACTACATCAAACCCCAGCCGGTGAACCACACGACGGACCGGCTGTTCCGCAGGGGAGCCAGCAAGGCCTTGTGTTCGCCACCGGTTTGTGAATCTTTGGGGCCCATTGATATCCAGCTGGAAGAAGGAGACTGCGTGAAAAAGTGTGGCACCTTAAATCTGACATTGGCCACTGAGTCATGCAAAGAGCATGGGCATGTGGCCATCAAAACAGTGCGAGTGCCAGAGGTCAGTGACCTCAGAGCCTTGGTGGAGGATCCCAGACTAAACCTGAAGGTTATACAGCTGGTGAGGGACCCCAGAGGTATCCTAGCTTCCAGGAGCGAAACCTTCCGAGACACCTATAGACTTTGGAGGATCTGGGATGGTACCGGCAGGAAGCCCTATAACCTTGATGTGACCCAGCTCACCACAGTCTGTGAGGACTTTTTGAACTCTGTATCCACTGGACTAAACCGACCACCTTGGCTTAAGGGTAAATACATGCTGGTAAGGTACGAAGACCTGGCCAGAAATCCCCTGAAAAAGACTGAGGAGATTTACACTTTCCTGGGCATTCCCATGGACAGCAACGTTGAGCGATGGATACAAAATAACACAAGAGGGGACAGGTCCGCGGCCAAACACAAGTATGGGACTGTCCGGAACTCGGCCGCAACAGCAGAGAAATGGCGGTTCCGCCTTTCTTACGAGATTGTGGAGTTTACTCAGAACGCCTGCCAGCAGGTGTTGGCACAGCTTGGCTACAAAATGGCGGGCTCAGAGGAAGAACTGAAGAACCTCTCCATCAGCCTGGTGGAAGAAAGGGACTTCCTGCCCTTTTTGTAAGACAGGCATTATGCTCGCTTTTTGATATGGACTGTTTCTAACTGTTGCCTTATTTTATTTCCCTCCTTCTCCAAAATTTGCACTAAATCTTGAATGGGAATCTCAACAGCATTAAGGCAAGGAGGCCACTCTCTCTCACAATGCGCTTTGGACGCAAGGGCTTTGGGTGTCTCAAAGCAAGAGCTAGAACTGTGGATGGGTAACAATGTTTACAAAATACACACACAATGTACAAAACAACCTTCAAGCTTTCCAAACCGAAGGGTACCAGGGGTACTGTACTTTTGCACTGTTTACTTTTACAATGTAAGAGAAATATATATATATATATATACATATATATATATATAATTTATGAATGTTGTTGTCCCCTCCAGAATAATTCCCCCTTGCCTCCCAGTTCCGAGCAGGTTATGCTGTTAGCTGAATGTGAAATAACTTCCCAATTTTTCAATCTCGTTTCAATATGTCTGTTCGTTTAAGTCGTGTTATTGGGCTGAGCAGTCAATCGGTTGCTGATCCATGGTTGTTTGGTAACACCTGTGACATTCTTTGTGCCAAAAAAAATTTAGTTGATTGGGTGGTTTGTTAAAAAACAAACAAAATTAATGCTTTATCTCTGTGTTTTCTGTAAATAAAAGTGTGCAACAAAACTGATGATTGCTGGGTGGGTGAAATTCAACTGGGAGAGTTCAGTAACTGCAGCTAGGACATGAATATATGACACCTGCCTCCCCCTCCCACATCAATAAGCCTGACCCACCTTCAGAGCATAATAGAAGGTGGGAGAGATGGGGTACAGAGAGATGCAAGCCAAGAGTGGTCTGGGCTAACCTCCCTGGGGGATGGAATGGAGTTTCAGAATTTGCCACTGGCTTCAATTCACTCTTTCTCTGCTGTGTGCATACTTGCATCCAAAGTGTGTAAAATGCAGCTTGTTCAGTAAAATAGCAATCATTTGAAAAGGCCTTCCAGCCTAGGGCCTGCTGGGGGTGCTGTTTTGGCAGAAGCACTGACGGGGCCCATGTAGCATGCCCAGCAGCTTGGGTATTGCACTGAGAGAAATCATGTGCCTAGGTACTGATCCAATCAGCATGGCCTCTGGCCAAGGCATTAAAAGTAGCATAGCCCAAATCCAGTGTCTGAATCCCTTGCTGCAGCCTATTTGGGTGCCTTGCCCTGGAGGTCCAGGTAAAACGCTGAAGATCAGTTTGTAAATTGGAAGAAAAATTGACATTTTTCATCCTTATGATTTATTTGTGTCACAGTAGCCCACAGTGTCCCAACCAGATCAAGGCCTCATCGTGCTACAGCCTGTACAAACACATGGCAAGAGACAGTTGCTGCCCTGGAGCACCTGCAGCCTAAATAAAGCAGACAGCATAAGGGTGGGAGGGCAGACAGAGTCACAGAAAAGGGAAGTGCCTTGCTCAAGACCACACAATCAGTAAGGGGAAGAGCAAGAAGGCTGGTCGCCTGGGTCTCACGTCCAGCACCTTATCCACTGGAGAACTCCATCTCTTGTCCTTGGAGCAGGCGAGAGAGGTGCTGGGGGGAGGAGGTATTCACCTGGAAGAGAGCTCCACCCGATGATGGAGCATCTAGATCAGGGGTTTGCTTGCGGGGGGGGGGGGCAACACTTTCCACTCGAGCTGCAAGTGAGTGAGCTCTTCACAGGCAGTGGAGCTGAGCTGGGCAGTTGCAGTAGCCGTGCACAAAGACAAATCCCAGCAGATCTGCCTGCTTTCTGCTCACCTAAAAGCCAAGGAAGGAAGGGAGAATTGGGAAAGGGGTGAAGAAAGGCCAGGAGGCTTCAAGAATTCTCTATTAAACTCTTCTTTACAGGCCTGTAGAAGGGCAGGAACATCTGCTGCTGCCTGTGCTCGTCTCACTGGCCGCATTTGCAAACTGACCAGCCCTGGGAGATGAAAACTCATTTTAACTGGAAAAAGGTCAGCAGAAAAATGAGTTTGGTGGCCTCTCATCAGGGTGTGCAGGGAGACAAGCAGCACCTTATAAAGGATCTGAGCTGGCCGCAAGTGAGGGACTAGCAGCCTTGCCTCAGGGAGAGGGGATGGAGAGAGACCTGCAACTATCACTACCACAGCTGGCCCTAGCTCACAGCCAATCTTAACCATGGGCCAGATCTGGCAATGGCTGGGAGCCACATGACTGCAGCTGCCTTCCCCTAACACAGCCTTGCCAAGATGGGTAGGCCCAATGTGCCTGCGGTGCCTCATCCCCGGCTAATCCTGGGACGGTTTATCTCTGTGGGCTGAACCTCTAGCTCAGAGATATGAGGAGCTGCAGGTCCTAGGAGCCACCTGTGCACCACCCCCTCATTAATAGATTGCACACCAAACACAGGTGGGGGGAGTGGGCCATATACTGTTTGGTTACAGAGGAGCCACTGGGCCAAGTTTATCAGGGCCCCTGCGACCCACAGAGAAATCAAGCAGTCCTGTCCTCCAGGGATGAGCATGCTGCTATGGAGACAAGCATTGCCTTGAAAGGCTTGGCTGGTAAGAGGGTCCTTTGAATAAATCTTGATAAGAAACAGCCAGCCTAAGGACAAAAGCTCCCTTTCTCCAGTAGCTATAGCCGGATACAGTGGCCTTTGGAGTTTGACTGAACAAAGCCCAATTGCATGGAATTTTAAGCTAATATTAGGAATCAGGTTTAAATACTTCCTCTGAACTGGTTTCTAACAGCTTGACCAATTATTGTGGCCAGGACAAAATGGCTTTGCCATATTTGAAAACCAGTGTAAGTGGGGAGAGAGATTTAATATTATTTAGTGTCCTGTCATAAAAATGGTTATATTGGGTTAAACCAAACGGTCCATCTACCCTAGTTTCCTGTTTTCCAACAGTGGCCAATGCCAGGTGCCACAGAGGTAATGAACAGAACAGGCAGTCATCAAGTGATCCATCCCCTAACACTCATTCTCAGTTTCTGGCACAATGGTTCTGGGTGTGACCTTTGAATTTCCATTGCGTGTCTAATTATTTTCTTAACAGTATTATTTTTGTTCATTTCCTCCCACTGGAGACAAGGACTGACCCCAAAGAGGTATTTATCCTCAAATTTCACTGTAATTGAAATATAGAGATGCAGGATATTCCCAGAAACACATTGCAAAAAAACAAACCAAAAGCCAACCAACCAAAAAAACCCCAAGAAAAATCTCAAACCCAGAAACAAATTACAGAGATTTCAATTATAGAGAACAAAAATATCCCCTTGAGCCTCAGGCATTTGCTCTAGCATGGTGGAGAGGACTGGGCAATCGGGCTGGAGGAATTCTTTAATGTGTGAGTATTTCACTAGAGCTGACTTTACTTACTCCACGAGGTGGGAGTGTCTCAGACAGACACATGCAAGGAAAAACATGTGAAGCCAGAGATGGTCAGTAACACCCTACCCCTGAAATTGCCACACCCTACTTCTGTCTCTATATTTACACACAACCCGTATTTTATAAGACCTACTTCAGCACCATGGAAACATAACAAGATGCACGCAAGGAGGTGCAGACTAGGAAGGGCCACAGAGACAAAACAGAGATTTTTTCCATCAACAGGCTGAGTAGAGACAGCAGCCGAGGAAATGCACATCCTTGCTTCTCCTAGCCAGGCAAACAGTCTGAGCTAGCTGAGTCTTCCATACCGCGGCCCCATTTCAGGGCCACCAAGGTGGCTTATTAACCAGATGCTCCCATTCAGTAGGCATTCTGGCCTGAGAAGAAAAGCAAAGCAAAGGAAGTAATAGAACAAGGCAGGAAAAAGATAGAGTGAAAAGCGAAAGAGGAAAAGGAAAAACTAGTGACTGGATGGTTCTCTCCTGCAATCTAGGGCACATTCACCCCACCTACTGCTCTCAGCTGGCACATTGCTGTTTATTTACCAGCCTTGGACTCACAGCAAGCCCTTCACAGGGCAAACAATAAGTCATCCTCAGCTTATCCCTGCAGTCTAGAGACACTAGATCTGTTAGGAGGCTTCTCTGTTTCATACCAGCCATCATGCATCGGCAGGAAATGCTAATCCGCTCTTCTTTCTGTTTGGTTTGGGGATGGTGCACGGAGGAGCAGAGTGAAGACGCATCCTGTTGAGTGCTGGTACTGCAATCCATTACTGTGCTTTAGATGCTAACATCAGTGCAAGTACAATGTGTGACAGCCAACACATTTAGAAGCCTGCCTGCAAAATGAACCTTCAGCGTGAGACAAGTCTTCTGAAGTCCACTGAATAGTCTCTGTTATGCCTGATCCTGGAGTGATGCCACCAGTTCTCAACCTGTTTAGCACTGTGGGCTGCCTATGCAGTTCTCTATTATGTGGGCTGCAGCCCCATGGTATACTACCTGTACGGCACTGAGGTACGGGCTGCAGGTTGAGAACCACTCTTTGTTTAGCACTGTGGGCTGCCTATGCAGCTCTGTATTATGTGGGCTGCAGCCCCGTGGTATACTACCTGTACTGCACTGAGGTACGGGGCTGCAGGTTGAGAACCACTCCCCCTACTTCCCAGCCCAGTTGTGTTAGCAACCGTATCTCTTCCTCCTCATTTCCGAATAACTTCAGCTACTCTACACCATATTCTTACAGTTTGGCTCTTCCCATCCAACCACACCTATTAGGGGCTGCCAACTGCAGTACGTCTGTCTGGTCATTTGACTTGCCCCAGTACCTGAAAGAGGTTCCCAACATTTCTCAAGAATCCTTTAATTTCGTCAGTTTACCTACTCTCTGATATCTGTGCCGAAGCTCAGAGCCTTGACCCACACCACGTTTACAGGAGAGTTGATGCATTTTTGCCCCACGCTCTCAATGCTGAAAGACCAGCACCACCAGTAGTTGGACTCCCAGAACAGAGCTCCTGTCTGTGAGTTTCTTTCACTTCTAGTTTCACCCCTGCAAACTATTGCTCCAGCTGTGGCCATTCCTGAGCTTTTTTTGATTCTATTTACTTAAAAAAGAAAAAGAAAGACAAAGAGGACAGGAGAAAAGATGAGAGAATGCCCTGTATACACGAGGGGCCCCTGAAGTCAGTGGAGTTGCAGCAGGGATGAAAACGTATTTCACCTTGTTTTGCTGGTGCCATTCCAAACAGAGTTCTGAAAGCTGATGTCCTGCAATGGCCCTAGCAGTGCAGAGCTCCCCCACCCTCAAAGAACTGATAGCAGAGGGCTAGTGGGAGCGAGAGGACAGCTAACAGTTCCTTGAACTTCTCAGCCCCTCCTCAAGCAGGGGAGAGGAATCTTTTTTCTATCAAGAACCACTGATCCACAGGAAAAAAAATATGAGTCGGGGGGGACACAGTCCCATGGGTGGCATGGAGGGTTTGGGCTTCCCCCAGGCTCTGGGTTGTGGCCAGGGTGCAGGAGAGGGCTCCAGAGGGAGGAGGTGCCCTAATTTTTCCCACTCCTGAGGCAGTGCAGTGCAACACATCAGCTGCATAGTGGTGCACATAAAATTCACATGGTGGGCGTGGGGCCAAGGGCTTTTGAATGTGGAAGGGGCTCAGGCCTGGGGCAGAGGGTTGGGATGCAGGGGTATGGGGACTCTGGGATGCAAGAGGGGCTTCCAAGTTTGGGGAGGGACTCAGGGTGGGAGTGTGGCTTGGGCTTACCTGAGTAGCTCTTGAGCAGCGACGCTGAGAGGTTGCTGGTGCTTGCTAGTCCTGGGGCACTGTGCTGCACCCAGGAAGTGGTCAGCAGGTCTGGCTCC